TGCCGCTGAAAATGTTACATGGACGCTCTTTATCAACAGGCTCTCAGTGCAAAAGATGGGTCTTGTTCATGGTTGATCTCTCCTTGTTCGCCTATCTCATATCTTGGTCTAAGCATCCGGCATTGAGATACATGCGAGACAAAGTGGAGACAACAGTCCCAGGCGAGCGCCGCGGCATCTAGTGTAGAAACAAATGGGAAACGAACGGGATACAAAGGAGATGGGAGGCAAACGGGGGAAAAACATCCCAAACGGACCTCACAATCCAGGGTCTCTCTGCTTTACAAAGGCAGACAATAGGACACAAACGGCCGACATCAGTCCCAGACGGGCGTTGCAGCATCGAGGGTCGAGACAAAGCGGAGACACATCCGCGACTTTAAAAAAAATTACCGTGAGTACTCCACATGGACGTCACAGAAACCCGTTCTTTAAAGGGCAAAGGCGAGCACAACAAAAGCTAGCCTCCACACTCCACACTCAACCACACATCCACACTCCACAACACACCAACACCACCACACTCCACCCCCCAACTCACACCCCACACCGCCACACATGCGCTCACGGAGACTGCGAATCCACCACATCCGCCGAAGCGCTCACAAACCGCGAGTTATATCGCAACGACACGCATCTATCGCCACCCACCCCCCACCCCACCCCCCCACAAATTCACCCAATAGATTCAGGACCCCCCTAGACTCACTAACTGTTTCCTGATGCACCTTCCGAACTTGCTGCGCAAGCAACGTGCACAGCTCCTTGCCTTTCTGCTCTTCTGACTGCCATAAAGTTCGCAGGCCAGGCACATAGCCAAGCCACTCCTACAACAGTGGCAAGGCAGAAGGAACTCGCAACTTTGCGATGCCCGTCCTCGGCGTCCAGGCGCTCCTACAGGATTGTCATCACGAAAGCACCGCCGAATCTGACAGATGTGACTTTCACGGGCTTCTCTCCTGTGCAAGCATAGACCGCCAAGATCGCATGATAGTCAGCTCTGGACACTGCGGAACCATGGCAGCATCGCACAGGCGCGGTAAGGTGTCCCACAGTTTTAATGACCTTGTGAGATTTGTGGGCCATAGCTGGCGGTGTCGGACAAGACTGGAATCTTCAGTCGCCTCCCAACCTCCCAACGACAGTTCAACACCGAGGCACTCCATGTTATGCTTGTCGCCAAGGCGGGTATGTCCGCGACCCAGCACTCCACTGTTCGCAGTGTAATACAAGAAGCAGCTGTTGCCAGATCCTGCTCAAAGGATCAAAATTTCAAAAGGGCGCACTCTCAGCAATACAAGTCAAGTTCAGTGACTTCAGTGACTACGGCCGACCTGAGCGCATGAGTGCTTCAAGATCTTCTCTTCTGTACTGGTAGTACTCATCATTGGAACCATGCGCCAAGATCACCCTGCTGCCTGGACAGCATTGCTATAACATGCTATAACCTTGCTCCCACACTGGCACAGAAGACGTTGCTTGCCCTCAGTGCCTTTCGGAAGGCTCGTCAAGGTCGGGTGCCTGCCATTGTCTTCCAAGAACAAGGCAGACAACTCAGGTGCTGAACTCAAGTGCTGAGTGGAGACACATAAGGCGCGGAAAAAAAAAAAAACTCTCTGCCCGCAGCTGGCCTGTTGATGATCAACGTGGGTCCAGCCCACATTCCTGCCTGCCACGCCGCAGTGACATAGGCACCGCCCTTGGAGGCACAGACGAGCAAGTGCGGCTCGAACTCGTCGATGGCCTGCTTGAGCACCTGCCAGCTGACCAAACTTGAGGGCCAAGAATGCAAAGATATCACGGGCCAAGAGCGACTCAGCGTGACAGCCCATGACTGAGCAGAAGGCTGGCAAGTAGTGAAAGATCGGGAAGGCAGGCGACTCTGGGTTCGGCAGTTCGAAAACCCAACGAACCTTGAAGACCACAATGGAGTTACACAGCAGCGGAAGGCGGGGAAGGCTTGCACACATATTGAACCGCATTGAATTCATGCCGTGATTCTTGAAAGCCTGCTGCTTCCAGGAGCTGGCCTGTCGGGGAAACATCAAGCAGGCATCGTGATCGATATTGATTGATGTGATATTTGTTGAGGCCTCGGGCCGGAGGTGTATAGGTTGTCAGAACAGGCACCCCCCTCCAAATCCTCCCCCACACCCAAAACCATTTTTCGGACCCATGGGTACCCCCCCCCCCCCCCCCAGGAAACCGGGGTCCGCAAGCGGACGGTTCGCCAGCACCAACGCAGTTGAGGCCCCTCCCAGCAGGCCCCCCCCCCACCCGCCCCCCTACCCCCACCCCCTGCCCCCCTCCTTCCCCCCCCCCCCCCCCAACCCACACCCTTTTCCCCGCCAAAGCCGGTGTGAGCACGGTTGGGACGCATTACATTGAACCAAAAAAGCCCGAAGCCCTCCCCCTCCCCCTCCCCCCTTCCCCCCCCACCCCCTACGATCAATCCAAGCCGAACCGTCTCTTGAACCCTAAACCCAAAAAAACCCTAAACCCCAAAGCGTGAACCTTGAGCCCTAAGCCCTCAATCCTAAACTAACAGCGACTTGGGCGCTGCGGAATCACCATGCTCACGCGGATGCGCTGGGCCGGGCCGAGGCGGGTCGCGTAGCGTTAAAATTACGGAAAGCGGTGTGTTGGGGCCCATTCACCCATCCTTGCTGCGGATTCAGCTCACGACCAAAGCCAGGACCAATGATCAGCACACGCTGATTGCTTCTCTCGTACTCGGGTGACTGGAGAGTAGGCTTATCCTGAGCAGGTGCCGGCACCAAGCGGCATGGCTGCAACATCCTGCAACAGCTCTTTGATGGCATAGAAAAACAATATGTATATGTGTATATATACACACACACATTATTGGGCCACGTCACCTTGTTCGTGGGGCTTGCGGGCGGCGAGGCGCGTTGGCTCGAAACTGGCGTCCCATCAAAATCAGCGTTGGGACCCTGCACATCGGGAACTCTGAGGGTCGCGATGACCGCGTGCGACGAACTGGGCCTGACAGAGCTGGACACCTGTGATCCGGTGCTGCTGGTTGGCGTCACGGCATTGTGGTCTTCATCCGAATCCCCCTTCGACTGCACTGGCTGTGGGGTACTGACATACGCAGGACTGGGCGGAGCATCCGGTGGGACATCTGGCTGTCTTGCGCTGGCGGCGGTGGATGTCGACAAGGATTTGTGTACCGAGTCTTCCTCATCTGGCTGCGATGCGTTCGTGGAGGCGGCGTCAACGACTTGCTTGGCGTCGGAATTAGAGGAGGGAGTCGCTTGGACACCATCCGGCCGCCTCACGACCAAGCTGATCAAATCCGGTGTGAGCCACCTGGCGTCCGCGGTTGCTTTGCAGATGTGGACTGGGAGTTGAACAGAACACGTGGAAAACTCGTGGAAAGCAGCTAAGGTCGAAGCCGGAGCGCACCATTTGCTGAGATCAAGATCGATCCCGCTGGTAAGCTCGAAGTCCCAATCGACAGTGGCGAGGAAAGCACTTGGTTAACCACAGCGCCGACGTCCCAAGCATTTGTGCCGTAGTTCCAGACGTCGAGTACATCTCCCTCAGCAAAGCCCACCTGGTCCACCTGGTGTTCGTGTCGTGTCTCTCCCCCAAATTTCAATAAATTTCAGCACTCCCCGGATTCTGCATTGCAAACCCATGCAAACCCATGCGCCTTCTCATCGGACTCTTCCTTTGGGTTAACATGGTCCACCTCGTCAGGCTTCCTGGCATCCTGCCCCGGCTTGTCCAGGCCAAAGAAGGAGGACATGGCCCCCAGCCTCGAAAGAAGCATGATGCCAAGGACCCTTGCCAATGCCAACAGACCGGGCCGGTCAAATCGCTTGAGTCACGTGGGCAATGCCGAGGAGCATGGTGGAGAGCGACGTGTACCCGCCAAGCTTGGCGATATCCTGCCAGGTTTCGGGCTGATTAGATATGGATCGGAGTAGACGGGTAGCTAGGAACATGGCAAAGCCCCACCCTTGCCGAAAAGCGAACATGAGCATATTCGCTTCGGAAGCCTACCTCCTTACATTATAGGCCACACTCCTTGGCAGGATCTGCGGGCGCTTCAATCTCTTCCGACTCATCTCGATCCTGAACTTCGCTTCATCAACAAGGTAACTGATATAAGCTCAGCTACGTGCAGCAACAAAACTGCCTTAACAACTACTGTCAGAAAGGCTGCCTCGGCCTCGGCCCGTCGCAGCATAACTCCTGCAGCATATGAGCACTTCTGCACATGCAACTTAGGTTGAACCTGCTGCGATACGATGTCCACACTTCGTTAGCGTCAAAGTCCGGCCTACGTGCTCTTCACTTATCCAAAGAGTCGATGTTTCGTCGGAGAACGACACCGCCACAGAACCAGATGGCAAAACCTAGTGGCAGGCATCTGGCACACCCCACTTCTGTTTCCATGGGTTTAGGGTTTAGGGTTTAGGGTTTAGGCTTTAGGGTTTAGGGTTTAGGGTTTAGGGTTTGGGTTTAGGGTTTATGGTTTAGGGTTTAGGGCTTAGGGCTTAGGGTTGTGCAGAGCACATCCTCAATCGAGCCACCGTGTTGCCATAGGCCAGCGGGGAGGTCAGAATCTGGCTGATGTGACCTGTTTGGAACGGTAGCGAGGTACTCTTATAGCTGGTCAACAGTGCAGCAATATTCAGCTTTCACTCGCATATCCAGCAACCTTTCTGGTCGACCATCTTTGTCGAGAGATTAAAGGCGTACCTGAGCGCACTCTCCGTTTCATGTTCATCTGAGCTTTCAATGCCTGGAACGATCATCTTCTTGCAATCCATAAACACAACATCTCCCACTTTGAACGGCGACGGCATTGCAGGAGTGCGTTCCCGGAGGGACCAGTCGTCACTGCGCTAGAAACAGCTGGCAGGTTAAAAGGCCAGGCGGAAACGCTAACACTTGGCTCTTGCACCGCCAACAACAAAACATACTTGATTGTCCATCTTTTGGCGGCTGCAAGCTGGGCATCGGACTACGCATGCGGTGCGCATCAACCTCGGCCCGAAGCATCACATTGGCGCTTGCGCCACTGTGCATCTTTGCCGCCTTTGCGAAATTCCATGCCAAGCTCATTGCGATCAAGTGCTCGGCCTTGCACATTGGGGGACGACACGGAACGACTCAAGGCATCATGCCTAATCACAACAAGCCGGCCTTGAGATATGAAGCGGAAGCTACCTCCACAACACCGGCAGCATGCACAAACACGCAAACTTACAGCACAACAAGTGGCTGCACGGCAAATTTCCCTGGCCTTCAGGCAGCACAATTCAAGCATTGGTGCGAGAAGGTCTCCGATTGAGCCCACGCGCTGGCAGGATGGCAACCTCACAAAAGTCTCGCACAGCATCAAGATGTGATTAACAAACAAGACGTTGTCATGCCTGAGGCGTTCGGCAATTTCTGGGAAGCCTCCACATGTTGCTTGTAATAAAACAAGCTGAAGCTTGATCGTGGACTCGGATGGACTCGGTCAGTCCTCCTCGAAACCCAGCAGCGAGGTTCACCTGATAACAACACATTGTAGGAGGAACCGTTACCATGGAGTGCAAGAATCCATCGCCATCACCAATGTCTGAGATCAAAGCAGAGTCCATGATAGCGACAGCGGCAGCGAGAACCATGAAGAGTGTAAGATCCCAGGGGCGTAGTGAACATCGAGCCCTGTTCCCAACCTCCGGATTCTCAAGTATGGGTTGAAGGCAGACGGCAGCAAACACTGAAGAAGCGGCCAAACAAACCAGGAGGCCGGGAATGAACAGCAATTGCCTCTGGTGCAGCAAAGTCGCTTGGCACGACGTTTGGGGTTGAGTTTGCGTTCGTTCGTCCAAGTGGAACACGCCATTCAAAGATTCAAATTAATTTGTTTTAGCCGTTTCTGTGTGTCCGGCCCGACCACCAATCGCAGCACTTCGACCGCAAACAATGCAAGAAGCAACGCACCAAACCTCAAATGATGGTTTGCAGAAATTCGGGCTCCGAATCTCCCCTGCATCCTGCTGAGGCTCTTGCTGCAAGCGCCGGAATTCGATTTCCTCAAGTGGGGTCCTGGCAAGTAGTGCATCGTTTTCAACATGTTACCACACAACATAACCCGAAACACGCAACTCGAGCAAAACTTCAATCATGGTGGCTCACGCACAATACTTTTGAAAGCAGGTTTCCAACCTCAGCGAGAGGTAACGCAGAACCTTGCCACGAACTCCTCGCCTTTAGCCGCTGTAGCCTTTAGCCCACCAAAACACAACGGACAAGGCCAGAGCAGCGTGAACAACATGTTCCACGCACCATCGCCTGCCATCGCAAAACACTGCAACTAGTGCGACGTGCGAAGAAACACGGCCTTCCGATGGTGGAATATGCGGAGCGCAGCTGCGGGGCCTTCATTCCAACATAATGCAACCCAAAAAAACAATATCCGGTGGAAAAAACCATTCGGGTCGCGGCTGTGGCTGCATCATTACCGGGCGCTGTCGCCATCCCCACCTTTACGATTCAAGGCCGCTGATAAATCAGAATCATGTTCCGCCAGGAGGTTGAAGTTGACATACACACTTGTCTGTTGCATTGAAGCCGGGCGCCCAATGCGCGTAGACCACATGTCGCAACCTGCCGAAAAACAAGCCAAACCTCTTGCTAGCCCTCTTTGGTCTGTCTCCGGACGAAGTGAAAACAGGCCGGCCACACACACACACACACACAGCCCGCACGTATGTGCGGGATGCGATACTCCCAGATCCCGCTACATCCGGTGGACGAGCCCAATTCATCAACAGCGAATACAGAGAGCTACTCCATGCCGTCTTCAAGTGTTAACACAACACTCGGCGGAACTTTAGAGCTGAGTGGAACTGTGGTGAGAAAACTCCTTCGATCGCCTCCAACATGAAAATCACCATTGAGGTGTGGCTATCCCCCCTGCATTTCTGCGAGTTCATAACTTGCGCCATGCTTTTGTATGACACAAGGTGCACCCGAATCAACGACAACCAAAACCAAAGGGCATGGTTGTTTTTCCTATTCTCAGGGTGTTTTTCTTTCTTCTCCGTCGGCGAAGGCTTTAATTTGCATTCTGCTGGTTCTTTTTTCAGGCATTGGGCCCCCCTTCCGAATCCGAGGGCTCATAATTGTATTCTACGGGTCCTTTTTCTTAGCCCGGGCAGTTTGGAGAGGGTGGGGATTGTAAGGTTCACGCTAAACAGAAGAGCTCAGTTTTTACGACCCTCGGCCCTCACAGAACAACTGACGTTGGCGAATGGTAGGAATCGTGGGTGGGACTGGTAGGTACTAGCAGGAATTGTTGGCTGAGGGGTCGGTGGGAATGCTGGGCGATTGGTGCAAGATGGAAACGGTGGGAGTGGTAGTTGGTGGGGAATTGTAGAAAATCAGTGGTAGTGGCGGGAAATGGGGAATGGAAGGGTGAGTGGTAGTGGGAATGGCGCGTGTTGGTGGGTGATCAATGCACTATTGGAAATAATATGTAGATTGCATATGAACTAATTTATATCGTGAGTGAACAGAGCGAATGAATAACGCATGAAATTCGTGAATTTGCAAACGAAATAGTGGCTCAATAAGATATTCATTTAGCGCCCCTATAATTAGATGACTCGTTTATTATGATTACCAGGGCCATTTGTTTCTCTATTATTCCAATACTATTTATGGCCGTTTTAACCATATCTTTTCCATCACTAGTTAATAATTGTAATCGTAAAGGCTTAGAATCTATTTTATATTTTTCTGGATTCATGTTTGGAATCTCCAGAACATGGATATCAGTCCTTATATGAACAGAATTGTAGTCATCAGGAATCATCAGGACATAGGTTTATATCTCCAGAAAACCAGAACTTCTACAATATAAGAATTACACTGCATGGCTTTCATATGATTGTCTTTTTAGGAATGCCTGGCTTGTTTGGAGGATTTTGAGATTATTTTGTACCTATCTTTCAAGGGTCACCAAAAGTGGTATATCCTACGGTCAAAAGCGTTTCTATCTTAATTCTTTTACTTGCATATCTTTTCCTAGTCCTTTCTATAATCTCAGAATCAGGATGAACCTGTTTTCCACCATTGTCCACTTCTTTTGTGACTTTATCACCTTTAAGTACGATATTTGCTACACAGGTGTGGTGTATGCGTGCTTGGGAAATTGGATCTGTATTGGTGTCCTGTACTGTTCAGGTGATACTAACTCGGACTATGGTAACTGCATCTATGAGGAATTTGACATTTGAGAAATGATCTTTTCACTTTTTTTGCTCGTCCTAAAATCTAAAGAATATAAGTATTGCAGCGTCTTACCGAGATTTAAAAGAGATATAAGAGACTTTTTCGACGAATGAATGATGTAATGAACGACATCGATTCGATTTTATCGTCGTGAATGTAAAAAAACTATCTCTTAAATCCTAAACTCTTTTGGGACGATAATGAACGATGAATTTAGCCGACTCGGCTTTAATTTTGATTGTAATGTATTTCTTAATCTTTTCGATAAGGTAGTATTTCTATCGGGTCGACTCTGTAATGGTATGAATTTTGAATCAAATGAAATCGAAGAATATAATCAATATGAAATCCATCCTTCTTATCATCCTCGAAGCTCCAAATCCAAAGCCGTCGGACGGCTTTCTAGCCAAGGGCTTCTGCCATTTCTATTTACAACCATTTTTTTTTTATAGATTGGGCTTTGCCGAAAAGACCCTTGCAGAGCAAACGTACAGAACTTCAAGCCTTGCTCTCAATTCCATGATGACCGGAGATCTGATATTTGGATTATTCATCTCCGGTATATCTTCATGTCTTACATCTCTAAACTTTTGGACAACAATTTAAAAATCTGAGATCTAACTATCTGACATTAAAGACTGTCCCATTTTTTCCTTTGGGCTTTCTCGACTACACCTTTCCTGCTTTTATTAACATTACCAATCTTATCTGGTACCCTTCTGTGAATGTTGGGTGCGTTCCCGAAAGCATCGCGAAGGATTCTTCCGTGCGGAGCCCTCTGATCCAACAACATAGACTGAAGTGCATAGAGTGAAGTGCATAGAGTGAAGTGCAGAGAGTGAAGTGCATAGAGTGAAGCGCGCAGAGTGAAGTGCATAGAGTGAAGAGCATAGAGTGAAGCGCATAGAGTGAAGTGCATAGAGTGAAGTGCATAGAGTCAAATGCATAGAGTGAAGTGCATAGAGTCAAGTGCATAGAGTGAAGTGCATAGAGTCAAGTGCATAGAGTCAAGTGCATAGAGTGAAGTGCATAGAATGAGTGCATAGAGTGAATTGCATAGAGTGAAGTGCACAGAGTGAATTGCATAGAGTGAAGTGCATAGAGTGAAGTGCATAGAGTGAATTGCATAGAGTGGAGTAGAAGTTAATAGAAATTACGACATTTACGTAGAATTTAGTAGACCTTCGTACCCAGTCCTAGATTTCTTAATTAAAATTACTCTTTCTAAGGCGGCGGGCTGGGTTGACATCGCCAATCGGGATTGCAACCCTCTGCGGTTTTCGGCGTGGTCGCGTTCCTAAAACCGTCGTTTTTTTACGTTTCTTGATTTGCGCGGACAACCCTCTGCGGGTTTCGGCGTGGCCGCATTCCTAAAACCGTCGTTTTTTTACGTTTCTTGATTTGCGCGGACGTGCAGCGCTGGGTCAGCTCCCGGGGCTCGACACGGGCTTCCCCAAATGCGCGGTGCAGCAGCATGCGGGGTGCCAGGAAGAAAAGTTTCCAACCACAGAGCTCCTCGACCGCACTGCTGGGCCGCAACGCGCGTTCCAGACCCGCGCGCAAGGCCATGCCACGCAGCTGAAGGGGGCGCGGACTGCAGCGTAGCGACGCATTCGCCGAGCTCCCAAGCGAGGTCCACGGCCTCTAGCTACCTGAAGCCGGCCCGCAGGCCTGCTTCGGCGCGGACAGTGCGCGTAGGCACGGCCGCACGGAGTTCCTCGGCGACCCTGACCACGCCCGGAGATTCGTGGTTCTGCGGCGGATCGGGCGCCGTGCGTCCGCGGCCGCGTCCTCGCCTCCCGCGGCCCCCTGCTCGCCCAGCAGCCCGGCGCGCGCCGGAAGCAGCGGCAGCCAGAGCGGCATCAGGGGCGGCAGACCGGGCATCCTCGGCAGGCGCGCACTCGCCATCTGCGGCCTCGACGGGGGGTTGCGCCTCGGCGCGAGGCTCCCCTAAAGGAGCGTCATCACGGTGAGCGTGCGTGGGTTCGGGGCGAGCGCCAGCGACGGGTCCGGCATGCAGCGGCGCGGGCTCCAGCCGGAAGGCATCAGAAGCGCGGTCGAGGTCGGCAGCGAAGGCTGAGCCACCATACCAGTGCAGGCACACCTCCTGGCACGCTGCGGCGATATACCCATCAGGCTCCGCCAGTCGGCGCACAACCCAGCCCAAGTGCACCAAGGCACTAGCGGGCAGAGCGGCGGCCTCCCGAAGCATGGCTTGGGGCAGCGGCTGGCCTGCAGCAGCGGTCGCCGACGAGGACTGGGGCGGAGGTCGCGAGGGCGCGGCGGGCATCCTCCCACCAACGTGCGCTTCTCGGCTCCTCACGCCAGGCCTGGGCATGTCACCGACGGCCGCATGCAGGAGAGGCACGTAGAGCCACGAATTGGTGGCCGAGGGGCGGGCCCGATGCAGACCAAGGGGGCGGGCGTAGCGGCGGCGGTGGCGGTAGGCCAGCTTCAGCGGCATCACGGGAAGTACCTGCGGCGAGAAGGTCCCTCGCTGGCGGATCGGCCCGTTGAGGGTGCAGCGCGGGCTGTGCGCAACCCTCTGGGCACTGGAGCCGGGATGTGCCGGTCGCAAGGTCACATACCCACTCCACGTGCCCCTCGCACAGACCACACGGCTCGCCCGCAACATCCGGCACCTGCAGGTCATGGAGGTCTTGGGCACGCCCGCACGAAGGACACAACCAGCCAGGCCGCCATGCAGCTATGCCGTGGTCATGGCGAACGGCGACTGGGGCCCAGTCCATATCGCGGTCGGGCAAAGGTTGGAACGTGAGCTGGCCGCTCGTCGACCGTGTGGGGACAACACGATGGCAACAAAGAAGCGTGCGGCTCGGAGGGGGTGGCGTTTCCGGGGCATCGTGAGCCGTGAAAGTGCGGAGTGCATAATCCGGCTGCGCGGCACGCACTGTGGACTCGCCTGACGCACGTTGCGGGAGTTCGATGCCGTGCCCCGCGCACGCGTCCCGCAAACGCAGCGTCATGGGTCCCGGACCAACCCTGAGGATCGCACCCGGGGCAACGGCCATGGCGGCACAAGGGGCAAAGGAGGTCCCCTTTTTTTTGTCTCCTGGACCCGAAGCCTGGCGGCGGAACTGGGCCAAACAAAACAGGTGCAAACAGTGTGCAACACAGGTCGGGAAAGGTACCACTGTGAGGCTGGACGGTGGGGTCGAGGTCCTCGAGGCAAACGCAACATACCCGGTCTACATGAACCGGCGCGACTGGCGTGGTATCCCCAGGGCCGTTGGAACAGCTGGCCGCCCAAGGCTCGCTAGGGGGAGAGCGCGCGCCCGGAGGGGAATCCGCACGCGAGCGCCGGGACAGGGGGGCGCCACGGAGGCGCACACGCCCTGGGCTGCAGGAAGCAGCGAGCGGCCCGTGACTCGTGGCCAACCCCTAAATGCACGTGAGGCAGCTAGCGAATCGTCGCAGCGTGCACACGGCGATGCGTGATGCGGCCTCAGCAAAGCAAACGCAAACAAAACGAAAAGTCCTACGAATTCCAGCAGCCGCGTGTGTTGCTGTTGTGTTAATTGTTCAAAGATATCTTTTTGTTGTGCTGATTGTTTGTGGTTTCTTTTCTCGTTTGTAGCACAAACGTAGTGCGCCGCGGACACCCGAGCTTCCGTGGCTGGAAACGCTGCTTCCGAAACCATCGCAAAAACCATGATCGCCGAATTCGCTGTTTCCAAAACCATCGCAAAAACCATGGTCCCCGAATTCGCTGCTTCCGCCCCTCCTCCCCTTGCCAGCCGCATGCCGTGACAGGGCCACCGCCCGCAGCACCTAGCTCCCTACCCACCGCCACCTGGTGCGCTCACTGCACCCTGTGCCACCCGTGGTAGGCTGAGTTCGACCGCTAGGGAAAAAGGTGCGTTGGAAAAAAAATCGCTGTTTCCAAAACCATCGCAAATACCATGGTCCCCGAATTCGCTGGTTCCAAAACCGTCGCAAATACCATGGTCCCCGAATTCGCTGGTTCCAAAACCATCGCAAATACCATGGCCCCCGAATTCGTTGGTTCCAAAAGCATCCCTTTTTTCTCGCACACTTTTTCCATCTGTCGGAGCGCGGTCCCAGTGCAAGCTACGCTCAGCCACCCGCCGGGAGTCGGCTCGGGGCGGCGGCTTCAAGCCAACGACCCTCTTCCAACGACCCTCTTCGAGCACCTCATGCAAAGCCGGGGCTCCGGCAGCAGAAGCGACGGATCCGAGGGGAAGCTTAAGGAGGGAGGCACGCTGCGCTGCAACGGCGATGAGGCCACTCCAGCGGGCGACGTGCGCGGCGGCTGCGGAGGAGCGCACGGCGGCATGGACGCTGGCAGAGCGCGCACGGGCAACGAGCCGCAGGAAAGTGACGGCTTCGGTCCCCCATCGGCCCCCGACCTCAAGGCCGAACACTACCAAGCGGCAACGGCGGCCGCGCTGCAGTTCTGTCACGCCATATCCGCGGCGTCGCAGCGCGGATGGCTGTGGCCGCCTCTCCGGCCCGAGTGGGAGGGGACACGAGCGTGGTGTCAACGGCTAGCTGGGCCCCGTGCCACAATGTCAAGCCGTTGCAGACGATCTCGATGCGGCGGGCGTCGTGGACCGGCGTCAGCAGGTTCATGTCAGCCAACCGCACGTTACGCGCGACGCGTGCCCCGGCCGCCTCAGTGCCAGCGCGGGTGCTCAAGCCATCTTGGAAGGGCAAGCAAGCATTCTGGAGCTGGGAAGAGTACAGCTGCGCCGGCGTGCGGCCGACAAGCCGGCGCAGCACGTCCCCAACGACGAGCGCGCGCACACGACCGTTAGGTTTGCGGAGCGCGACAATACGAATGACCCGGATGGCAGCGAGGATGGGCCCCGGGACCTCCGCACGCGCGAGCCTCTCAGAGTGCAGGAGCGTATACAGTCCTCCTCATGGTCAAGTAGGATGCGCAGGTGCTCATTGGTGGCTCCATATGGGCCTGCAGCGGAGCCCCGGCGGGCATGGCGGAGGGACGCGAGGAAGGAATGCAGCGGCAACGCAAGCAAGTCTTCCCCGAGCGGCGCGTACGGGGCTTGCGGTGTGCAGCTTGGGTCCCGCAGCTCGCGCAGCGTCTCGGGGGTGCCGGGCGCGAGAGGCTCGGAAACAAGGGCACGCCCAGCAGCGGACAGCTCGCCCAAGTGAACGAGCGCTGATGCCCGGGCTGCACGAGCCTCCTCGTCAGTACGGCCAGCGCGGGCAGCATCGGGTGCAGGCACGCAGCAGCGAGGAGGGATGGCCAAGCCCCATTGCGCATCGTTGTTCGAGTTCGGCAGGGGGAACGCGGCTCTGGCCAGCGGCACAATGGAGCAGCATGCGGGCGGCCAAGTAGAAGAGCTGAGCTTCCAGCCTCGGAGTTCGCAGGCAGGCGTGGGAGCGTCAAGCTGGAGACCTGCTCGGTAGGCCGTGCGCAGCGTGCCGCGGACTTGTGTTCGGACACTTTGGAGCGTCAAGACGCGCCTGCGCAGAGTGGCCTCGAGGTCGACGTCATCCAAACTTTCAAGCCCTACTCGAAACGCTACTTCGGCAGACAGGACACGACGTTCAGGACCGGCCGGGATGGTCCCCGCCCCCGTCCCCGCCCACCGCGCCGGCCACGCCCGCGTGGTTCCAAAACCATCGCGAAAACCATGGTCCCCGACTTCGCTGCTTCCAAAACCATCGCGAATACCATGGTCCCCGAATTCGCTGGTTCCAAAACCATCGCAAAAAACATGGTCCCCGAATTCGCTGCTTCCAAAACCATCGCGAATACCATGGTCCCCGAATTCGCTGCTTCCAAAACCATCGATCTCAAATACCATGGTCCTCGAATTCGCTGTTTCCAAAACCACCATGGTCCCCGAGTTCGCTGGTTCCAAAACCATCGCAAATACCATGGTCCCCGAGTTCGAGGGTTCCAAAAACCATCGCAAATACCATGGTTCCCGAATTCGTTGGTTCCAAAACCATCGCAAATACCATGGTCCCCGAATTCGCTGGTTCCAAAACCATGGCAAATACCATGGTCCCCGAATTCGCTGGTTCCAAAACCATCGCAAATACCATGGTCACCGATTTCGCAAAATCACATGGTGCTCCAATGCCGGGCGTGCGAAAACATCGCAAATTTCATGGTGATTTAATTCCCGGCGCGCGAAACTCACTTCGGTCAGATTTCACTGTGCTTCTCTGCTCTTTGAAGCTCCAAGGTCCTTGCCAACCTCGCTCTTCTGTCCTTTTTTCTTTGAAAGGCGCTCTGGAGTGTGGGCTTGTACGAAAACTTGCAGATTGTCGGAGTTGCACCTGGATCCAGATGCGGGTATCTGGTGGGCTCACAAAAACGTCGGGCCATTTTCCCTTCCTTGCAAATCAGCTTTCAAGACGGAGGACATTCCATGCAGCAGGAGGTACACGCGCCACAGTCGTCATCAAGGTAGGCATAAGCATGTTGTCCGTCCCAACAGCAGAAAGGAGTAGGAATCTGCTTTCACAAACAGTTCTTACGCAGTTTATTTTCATGCACTCTCTGGCCGAGTTTGTGCTTGCGTTGCGCTTGGAATTGCATATTTATTCGGTTTACTTTCCTATACTGCGTGGGATTATGACGACACGGTACGATATACCACGATATCATGGATTTACTTCTCGAGAACTCCTTGGTGGAGACTTCAGCGCTTGTTTGGGAAGCCGGTTGTCGTGTGACGAAGTTGACCCCCCTGTTTCTTATGGGCAAGGCCGGTCCGGCGAACACATTAGGGAACATGTCAGCAAACTTATCCACGGGGCGTGACGCTGCATGTCCAGGTGTAAGCTGCCACCGACGACGCATCTTCCAGGTTTTCGTTTGCCTTGACGCGAGGATGCGGCGTTCCGCGCGAACACGCAAAGATGTGAAGGCAGGTCTTTCCATGCGAAGACGCGAAGATGCGAAGATGTGAAACCGTGCACGAAGGGCGTCAACGGCATCAAACGGCAAGAATGGCTCTCGTGCGGCGCTGTGCACATGGCTTGCTCCTGTCGCACCCGTCCCTCCGCCCAAAAGCCCACGACGGTGCACGTACTCTTTTTAACGTCTTCCACGTGCCCAAGGACGGTCAGATCGCCAGCCCGGCTCGGCCATGCTCAACAGTTTTGCCGATGTTGGAGGCGATGTCGCAATCATCTGCAATCCTGCTCGACGCGCCCACGACTGCGTCGCCTCACTCGCGCATTCGGCCCCAAGTCGTTAGAACATAAATGTCCGCAAGGAATGCCACTGGTTTTTTGCGGGTTGGACGGCGGCAGAGGCTGCACTGCACAAGGCGTACTGCAACAATGCGAATCGGGCTGTGCTATCGCATCCCATTGTTCGCAGCCCTCGACGCGGGCCCTGCTGCCGACGCATCGGTCCCGCCCAGCCTGCAAAGTGAATTGGTACGGGTGGCTTGGTCAAGAAAAGGTCTGCAAATCCCTCGGCCCAGGTGCACGAGACACCAAGCGATGTTGTTGCTTGCCCACGCCCCTCCAGGCTTCGTTTTGCCGCACCGTTTTTTGGACGCGAAAACAATGAGAACAGTCCCGATGCGCCAGCCCGAAGTCCCCTCCTCCCCCGCCCCGGCTCACCCCTTCCCGACCGCGCCCGTTTGGTGGACGCATGCGCGCGGAATGTTGCCGGCTGTAGGCCGAAGTTGGCTGCATCGGCGGGGATCGTCTCTTGCTAGAGGTGAGGCTGTGAGGAGCTTTCTCTCCTTCGGGGTATGCATCCTTGAGCGCCACTCCGCGACTCCCTGCGTGGGGGAGCAACAGCTTCCAAGTTCGCCATGCCGACAACCCAGGCGTGCAGACCTCTTGCTCGCTAGCATTGCCCTGAACCCGTCGACCCGTTGACCCGTTGGCCCAACAATGTTATACGATTCTTGCAGAGTTCCTAGATCCTGGGCAGCTGGTTTTAATTTCTGCGTCGCGAACCCAGCGCGCCACTGGGGTTACATGTGGTTTGCTGCACTGGCCCGGTAGGACAGCACTGACGTGTTGGGTGAACGCGGATCGCTGCCCTACTCGTTTGAAGTGCGGCTTCTGTGCTTCTCTTCTGAAAGGTTTCGCAAGCCGTGCGACATTCTTCCCTCACTCATGTGGCCTCGTGCCTACTGGTGGTGCAAGGCGGGCAGCAGCTTGTGTTGGGGCAACAGCATACATTCATAGGACGACGTGCGTTGAGCTTGTCGTCGTCACACCGCGCCGCGTGCCTCCCGCAGAGTGCAAACTCGCTGCACAATGTGTGCTGGCCTTGCTCGAGCCGAAGCCTCTTCTGCCAAAACGCACCTGCTACTTTCTCTGTACGACTGGGCTAGCTTCAAGTGTTCGCAACGCCATACAAAAACAACAAGAAGATGATTTTTGCTTCGAACCTCCCCACCCTCTCCTGGTAGAGATACTTTGGGGTTGGGCACTCCCGGGACACTCTCTGGGGCTGGGCACTTTGGGGACATTGTGGGTTTCAGGGAGAGTCTGGGCTTGGGCACTCCAGTTGGGCACTCCGGACACTCCGTCCAGGGAGACTCTGGGGTTGGGATCAGGAGACTCTGCTCTAGCGAGACTCTGAGGCTGGGCACTTCCCCGCTTTTCTTGTTGTACGACTCGCACACTTGGGGCGGGTCTATGCATGAGCTTGCGTGGTAAAAGCGCGATCTCCGGGTTGGGTCGGCTGGGCAGGCCCAGGTCAAGGCGGTTGTCAACGGAAAAGATATTCATTGTCTTCTCATTTCAACAAGCGCCGAAAAGTTTAGGCATCTTGTAGAGGCCTGATGCTCTCGCAAGCCTTCAGGGGCTGGGAAGGATCAACTTTTACATGTAATTCAAGGCTGGCCAACGCAACAATTCGCAAACGTCCCGCTTTTGCGAGAGACTGGGGTCGCACAGGACTGGAGGCAGTATGAATGGCTTCGAGGATTCTACTTTCATGTTCGGGCCATCTCGACTGTTCGGATTATTCCGGCTTTGTGAACTTGTCGCTCCTCGTCGAGCATAGTCTACCGGATCCATATCCACCAGTGCAAAATCCAAAACTACCCCAGCATGAACTATCTTTTTTTTCTGCGTTCTGTCGGAGACCTGCTCGGTAGCCAAGGCAATAGCGAATTGAGTCTACTGCCTCAATGTCCTACTGCCTCAATGTCCACCATCGCAAAAGTAGCAAGCAGAAGCGGGCATACAACATGACTCGTAATAGATTGCTAGGATACTGCGTCTGTTAAATCAGAGACCTGGGTGGGCAAACTCCTTCAGATTTCCGTCCAGCCTCAGTGACCAGTGGTCCACTGCGCAAAAGGCCATATAAAAGCTCACACCCGAGGGGATGCTTGTCACATCTTGTCAGGCATCCTTAAGGCATGAGCAAATCAATCTCCAGCTTCTTGGCCAAGTTGACGCCTACTACGGAGACAGCTCAACAAGAAAGAAAGAGGCCCCACATCCTTCTCCAAAAAGCTGGGGGTCTCTTCTCTGCAACTGCTCTGAGTCGCCAACGAGCCGGCTTTCCAGTCGCGCCTTCACCATGTCCGAAGACTCTCATACTACTATGGCTGCTGTTCAGAAACGTTGTTGCAACATGTTGCACAACGCCGTTGCAACAGGCCGTGTGCAAGGGGGCCCCGGCCCTTGGGAAGCTCCTTCATGGTCACCAGCACCTCCGAGGAGGAAGTCGGAAGAACCAGGTGGGGCAACCTCCCTCAGAGAACCCGCCTCCGGGCACCATTTGTCCTGCAGCACCTGCCAGGATCTTGTAGCGTCCAACCCTCGACGACACCAAGTGATGGATTGCGGGCCTTGTCTTTCATGAGCCACTGTCGGAGATCAAAGAGCTTGAGGGACTTGCCCTCCTTCCAGAAGGAAGTCTCATGCCAAAGAAGACAAAAGGGCAGATTGCTCTCCGGCCGTTGTTCTGCTGTTTCGGTTTGTCTCTTGCTTCTTGTGTCTTCCTAACATTCCTTTCCTTTCCTTCCCCTCCCTTCCCTTCCCATGCCGTGCCCAGATGAGCGGGGCCACCCTCAAGCAACGAACCGATTGTGTCTGTCTCTATGTCCCTCTCTCTGTCTCTCTTGACTTTCGCTTGCACGTCCTTGGGAATGACCACGACACCTTGGGTGGGCTCGGAATGGCTTGGTGAACTTTTCGGAGAGAGGAAGCAGGTGGAGGCGTCTTTCGGATGCCGTTTGGCACTTCTCGACATGTGAGCCGAGCCCTCGGCCGACCGATTCTCCAAGCATGCTGTGAGGACCTGAACGTGATACAACAAACGCAACACGTGCAAACAAAGGACTTCACACCTGCAGCATGCAGCATGCAGTATGCCATAGCTGCAGATCTTTCTTGCTCTCAGTTGGGAGCATGCGAAGCAAAGGACATCGCTGACATCGGCGTGTCTTCTGACCCTGAGGCCGATATGACAGGAGGAAGTGCATCAGGCTTCACAAGTCACCAAGGATGCACGCGGCGATTGATCGGCCGAGGGCTAAGCGCATCCTCCACTTCGAACGGGGAGATCTGAAAACAAAGCAAAGCTTCTGTTTTGTCGTAGTCGTGTGCAACATTCGCGCGCAAAAACTCGTGAGAAACTTCTCACACAGAAGCCTTCTCACCCGCTCGGTTGATGAGTTCCTTGAAGCGGCCTAGGGCGCACGATGGTGCACGACATTGTACAATGCGCTCAGTTCAAGGCAACTTCTACTCAAGTTTTCAATGCATCGGCGGCTAACCTGACGGCTCAGGCCTATGAGGTAGAGGTATCCGTCCTCATCCACCCAGCCCTTGTCACCGCCTGCTCTCTTCGGAGTCTTCAAAGGCTTCAAAGATTTCACATGGCTTGACGGTTTGACGGCTTGGCCCTTTCACGCAACAGCGCGCTTAAGCTCGATCTTAAGCGCGGCACTCCTCATGTAGCCGTCCGTGAAGGCTTCTTCGTTCGGATCCTCCCAGGTTGCGAGTTTCGAGACGAGAGCTGAGCACGAAAGCACAGCGCACATGCTGCCCGACCCTGCATGGCCCTCCTAGCCTTGTCCATATGCGGCCTCATCTCGTAGCCCTTCATGACCTTGAATACGCTTGAACCATGGGAAGGCGCTCCGCAGCTTATGCCTTCGCACCTCTCACAGCCTCACTGACACCCGAAACCACCTTCATCCGACCCCCCCACTCCACCCTCTCCATGGCCGAGGGGCGCAAGGGCCGCGCACGCAGACCTCGCCCTCCTCGCCTGGGCCTGGCTTCCCGTGGGTTTGAGGCTGAGGCGTGTTGGGGGTGCGCGTCCTCCTGCAAACGCACGTTGTCCATTTTTCCAGCTTGGCCCCTGCCCAGCGCCTATCTTCCCCGAAAATGTGCACTCGGCTAATTCACATGCACTCACAGCACTACGGAAGCTTATGGCATCCGGCTGAAGCTGCACGTCAATAATGTCTGACCAGAGTCTCAGCACATACAGCCACTGGTGTGCTCCTCCACAGGCTCTGAGGCCACAATTCAAGCTGATCAGATTCGGCACCAGCAAAGCCGCCTTCATCAACGCAAGGAAACTCAATGCTGCTTCCCATTCCTGAGCCTTCTCACAAGCATCGACAACACTGCCGAAACTGACGACATTCGGGCTCAGCAATGCGTACACCATGGCAGTCAGCAGCCGAACAGCCTCTTCCCACCTACTGGCACTCCCACATGCACTGATGGCACTGCTGAAGCTGATCACGTTGGGCCTCACCCCGCGGGAAATCATCGAATGCAGCAGGCTCAAGGCAACCACCCACTCACCGCACCTCTCGCAAGCGGTGATTGCGCTGTTGAAAGTCACGACGTTTGCTGCGACTTTTGCACGATCCATGTCGGCCAAAAGCTGCAACGCCACTAACCACTGCTCGCCCTTGCCACAGGCGCTGATGGCAGTGCTGTAGCTGACGACATTCGGAGCCGATGGTCCATTTTGTCCATTTTGCATTTTTTGAAGCAAACACACTGCACCTTGCCACTGGCCTTCCATCTCGCACCCGCAGATGGCGGTACTAAAGGTGATCACATTCGGCTGCACCATCTCTGTCGCCATCACATCCAACAGGTCTAGGGCCCAAAGCCAATGGCTGGAATTGGCGCATGCGCTTGCCGCACTGCTGTAGGTAACTACGTTGCCAGCCACGTGCTCCAGAGCCATGGCCTTCAAAAGGCCCAAGGCTCCTAGCCATTGGCTACAACCCTCACATGCGCTGACTGCGCTACCGAAGCTGTACACATCTCGCAGCATGACAAGTCTTGGCTCGCTCAGAAGGCAGACTGCTGTCATCCATTGGGATTGGCACGATGCCAGGGCGCTGTTGAAGCTGATTGTCCGAACTCTGGCTGAAGCCATGGCCAGCAGCAGGTTGCATGCCAAACGCCAGCAGCGGGCTTGACTGGAGGTACGGATCGCGGCAGAACTCACAGCATCCAAGCTCTTTGGAGTGCATGTGGTCGAGATTCGACCGAGCCAACTGAGCGTCTCCGTCCATGCTGTCGTGGCCTTGGTAGTGAGTCCTTGGCTCAGATCTGGGCCCATTGCAAAGCACCCCTGCTGGAATGCCAACACAGGGAACGGGCATGTTTCAAGGTTGCCCGCTCTCTAAGCTTGCTCAAGACAGAACCCACAGAACAGCGTTTTTGCTTGGAGCCGCGATGCTTCCGAGTCTGGCACATGGATGATGAGTATGGACGGACAAGTGTAGCTGGAAGTAAACATCAACACATACCGGACACAACTGAGAACCAAATCAACATGCAACAGATGTGAGCTCTGAGCCACTCTGAGCCCCCAGGCCCATGCGCTTGTTGCCCGGCCACCCTTCCATGACCGCCACCTCGGGCCTGCAAGCCACTGCCATTTGTGGTCTGCCAACTGCAAGCTTCGGCCGAAACCTGGCCGTGGAGTCTCTTGAGGCTGCGGCCCCACAGCCGGCCCGACAGATTTCAGTTTCCTGACACCATACCTGTCAAGCCGAGTGCAGCTGCAAGACTCTGCAAAACCCGGTATTTACGCGAAAAAACAGGCAGACCTTCAGGCTTTGCAAAACTGATCGAACATGAAAACACACAGAATCTGAGGACCGCGCCGCGGGTTGGAGCAGAGAGGGTTGGCCTGTTAGAACCAGAAGAAGGTGGCTTGCCATCACTTCAATCTTAGCTGAATCACCATGTGATACTGCCAACTTTGCCTCAGTCATGGAATAGGCCGGCAACACCGTCGCCTGAGGCAGACTGCATAGGTGCTTTTCTGGTCTCCTTATGCACTCTTGCACGTCTGGCTAGCTGCTTCATCCTGACCATCATGCAAATTTGACAACATTCCGCATGGAAACACCGAGCTGAGAAACCATATGTACTTGAAGCAAAAATTGGTTGACCAGGAACTCTTGCATGACTCGGGCACCTTGAAGAATTCCTCCATCTGCTCTGCGAGGCTTGGCCTGGCCGTGCTCAGCACTCTGCCCAACTGGCCATACCGCCCACTGCCAGATGCTTCCATGCAAACTCACAGCTTCATTCAAAAACACACCGGTTTCAAGAAGACCCACAGTGGCCCCTGTTGGAACTTTCATCCGTCCCCTACTCCTACCATCAACATTACCAGCCCGAAGCTAGACTCAAAACCAATACGTCCTGGCTTTAGGGTTTAGGGTTTAGGGTTTAGGGCTTGGGCTTGGGGTTCAGGGTGTAGCATCGGTCAGCTGGACGCTGTATTGTGTATTGAACTCAGTATTACTCAGCACGAAGGGAACCATGAGGCACGAAATGGCTCCAAAGAACCGGGTTCATGTGACTTTGTGTTTGTACGCGCCGTCGGTGCAGGTGCCGAAACAGCCGGATGCTGGGAGCCCCGTCAAAAGCGCTGCAGAGTCGTTGCGGATCACCCGCAGCGGGCTCCTCGGTCGCGCACATCGCAGCATCTCGCACGAGGCACATGGACGTGAGCATTTGACAGATTCTCACGCATCCCTACCATTCCACCATGCACAGGCAGGACAAGAACACCTGATCCACCATGGAACTGGTCATCCCAAGCTCACGTTCCAAACACCTTATGAAACCTCGCACCAAACGAAAGACTTGGGAACCCCCAACGTCGCACGCCGAGTCTTGCACAAGACAATGCACACGAAAATTGTTCAGCGCATCCGATGCAGCAGTACAGGCTGAGCTTTGAGTCTCTGGCTCGAAGCTTTTTGCCTCCTGCCCAAGAGACATGACATGAACATCTTAGTTCAGGACGGCAAGAGACCTGAACTGCCATGCCTTGGCAAGAGCCATCAGTGACATGTGGTGGGCAGGTACCGCCGAGTACGAAGTAGGCCTCGCAACAATTGACCCACTGTTCACTCAGACACAGGATGGCATCTGCATGCACAGCTCATGTTTGTTCCCCCCCACATCCATGGCTTGCTTCTCCCGGGACTTCTTGCCATCTAGGCAGTCTAGGAGAACGCCTCGTGAATGCCTGCGCACTGAGGGCACGCTGAGAGCTCTCAGCATCTGGCAATGGCTCTTTGCCCATCGCCGCAAAGAAGCTGTGGGCCTCGAACACTGCAGCAGAAGCTCGGAGTATTTTCCGATATTGTGCCACAACATCAATGCAACTCAGGTTTCAGCCTTGTACTGCCCCGGCAGTGCAATAAACTTGGCGCCACTGTACCTAAGCCAGGCATAGCCAGATTAGAGTGATTCCATAGCACACTCATCTCCAGGCTGGGCATCCGACGGGTCGCAACATGCAAGCATCATCAACGTATTGCAACCAAAGAGCGCTGACATGAGCAGGTTCTCCATCAAGCCCGCGATGTGGAACATCGGCCTCTGGTGCACGCAAAATCTCTCTTACACGCACGGCAGTCCGAATCTGAGAGTCTGAGAGCTCAGAGGCCGCGAGCTCAAAGGCCCGTCTGTGAGGACTCTCGTGGTCATGCTGAGTCATGCTGAGGTCACCGGCATGGTGTTGATGAAGACGTCATCAGGGCCGAGGCAATTGGCGGCTGCATGGCACATGCCGCCGATGGCCATGCTCTCATGCCTAACTGAACATGAAATTTGCTATGCAAAGGCTGATCTGCAAGGCGGATTCTGCAACATCTGCACTTGAATCTGCACTCTTGCTGGATTCTGCTCACACCCATGAGTCCGAAGCGTGATCGGCACGATCTTCGGCTTCTTCGTTGTGCCCGAGGTGTGCAACACCAGGCATACCTTGGCATCCCAGCAGCATGTTTGCCTGCGGCATGGATTGGATGCAAACTGAACCTGAAAGCAATGCTGTCTGGGTGGTGAGCATGTTCCCGCTTCACTGTCTCCAGCGGGGGACCTAGCCTACAGCTGCGCGCAGGTGCAGAACAGCATGCTCTCCCGGTTGTCTCTCTCTGCACACCAAGGTCTGTGCTTGTCACCCGTCAAAGGCTTTCCGGCCGCATGCTTTTCGATTGCAAACAGACCTGCCACCTCTGGCCTGAGTCGCAGGGTCTGAGCTGTTTGGAGCCGTTTGGATCTTGCGGAACTTTGACATTGGTCAGCTGCATAGCTATGAGTTCTCAGCAAAGGACCTGCGACCTACCACATGCACCCCTGACTGAGGACAGAACGACGGGATCAGTTGAAGAATTATTTGGATCTTCTTTTTGCGAGCCTGTTCTCAGTCGAAACAAAGCAGTGACCGTAGTACGTGAAATTACGTGAAGTACGGTAAAAATGGCAACGTGTCGACGTGTGCCTGTGCGACTGCAATGGTAGTTGCCTGAGGACACACACACACACAATGTCAGAGACTGTAAGGGCAGCATGATTGTCACTTGGGTTCCGAGTGCATGGCCGCTTTGTCATCGGCATCCAGACCATCTGCTTTTTGAACAACGAGACCCTGAACTCAGGGTTTTTTACACAAAAGAGTAGATCAGCGAAGCCTTGAGATGCCTGGAACGCTCAACATTCAACACGCGGCACTTCGACAGATTTGCCCCAGCCTTGCACGGCAAGTCATCATACTCGAAATCAAACTCGTCTGCCTGAGCAGCCGGCTCTAGCGGTTCGATGCTTCCCGAGGCTCTCACTACACGAACCACTAAGCCCCACTGCACGCAGATAAAGATTTAATGGCGCGACCGTGCAGCGAACTGCGAAGGCCTCAGCAAAGGTCCGATCGCAACACATCGCAACCAGCCAGTTTATCAATGCACCTTAAGTTGGTTTACTCGGGCATCTGCCAAGTAAGCGACTGCGAGCTCTGGCCCAGTTGGAAAAACTAGGCACAGGCGGTCCTGCAAGCATCGTATATGCCCGACATGATAGTGTACGTAACTTCAAGTACAGAACCTGCTGAAAAGAGAAACGAGTTCCTCTCGACCCATTCCTGGGATATCATTTCTTTCGTCAATGATGAAGGCCTCTTGCAAAGCCGCACAGAGCCGGAGACCACGCACAGAAGCCAAGAAGCCAAGCCCGCTGTTGCGCAATCGGGAACTTGGAAGCCAAAGGGTGGTCAAGGCCATCCAAGGCCTTGAGCTCTTTGAAGGTCAGCGGACGTCTGCCATCCGTCGCGAAGAGGAAAGGCTCCTCCTGATCTTTAGAACGGACGCTCTCTGTGAGCATATTCGACAGCAGGAAAGCACTCGGCATTTGTGGTTGCATGAAGCTGCATGCGCACAGGCAGTTTTTCAGAAGAAGACCCCCTGCATGCTTCTACACGTGTGTGGCTATGTAGCATGCTGAACCCAACATGTCGCGAGGCCTTGTCAGGCAAAAAGTCCCAGAAAGTCTTCCAGTCTCCATCTGCAGGTCGGAAACCCACAATAAGGACTGGACATCTGCAAGTGGAGATGAGCAAGAATCAGAGCCAGAGCACCTACGTAATCGGTGGCCATCTTGTGCGCTTTTGGGTCGTAACCTGGGAAAGCATGTTGCTCAAGAGCTCAAGCGGCGAGTTTTTTTGCCTGCACTGCTGCAGCCATGCCTAAGAATCCGGGACTTCGGCATGGCTGCGCAGGCATCACAGGACCCACATCCTCGGCTAGGACAGGTTGGACACATTCCCCCGTTTTTTTCGGAGCCTCGAAGCCGAGCCGGGCACATGCGCCTGGACGGCGCCGCCCATGTCCTGGGCCTCCATCTTTGCGAAGGGCCGCACAGAGCCCGCCCTGTCGTCCCTCTGTGGTTTTCCGTGCACTCTGGCAACCCTTATTTTTTGTAGGGTTTTTAGGTGTTGAGGCGTTGGTTGCTACTCTGGTAATTACGGAGGGTGTACTCACCCCTTCACATCTGAGGCATGCGAAGTCTGATCGACAGGTCTAAAAGCACAGCAAAAGCTGCGAACAACAATCACATGTGGCTGCGAACCGTTGCCGAACAGCTCAAGTGCAGACATCACAAAGTCACAACAGGAGCCCCGGTTTGTTTTGGAGCCCGCCGTTTGCGACATGTTGCTATCTACGCAAGCGATCCTGGGTGCGAGGTCGCCAGGCGCTAGAGGCCCATGGCAGGGATCGCCTTCAGAAGCTCTAGGAATCCATGCTTCCCCGATATTCTAGGCCTTCGCTGAAGCTCCGAAATCCGAGCTGCCGGCAACAAGCCCGAAGACAACAGTGGTCAAGGAGCAGGCCAGAAGTATGGCACCAAAGCGGTCCGCAAACTCCTGAGCATTTTCTGCTATCCCCTACTGTAGAAATATGACCGACTGCACGCCTTGGTAGGGGAGGACTTCCTCGCTCGCTCTTGGCTGCTGGTCGCTGCACAAAAGACAACCTAGAGCGACCAACATCAGTCCTCAACTCGGACGTGCTGCGTGCCTTGGCAATGGAGCTGACAGTGCATGGAGCCAAATCACAGAAGCACGGCCCCAGAATTTGATGCCCAGAAACCCCCAGATTTGAAGATGCGGTTCCTCTTCCATTGCTTGGTGCACGCATGGAAGAGCAGCGTTAAAGAGGCAAATCCAACCTGAGTTTGCTGAATGTCTGGAGGTAACAGCGAAGGGACAATACTTTGATATGGCAAGTGGCCACAAGGCCGCAGAGATCTGTTGCAGCGGATGAAGAAGAGGCAATCATGACCTTAGACAAAGGAACAAGTAGTTCAGAAGATGCGGTCATAAGATGCTCAGGCAGTCCACAACCACCAACACATTCAGTCCAAGCCAGGCACAGCAGCGGTTGCCGCAAAAACTGTCGACAGCTTCGCCTCAACGCGGCAACGCTGCCAATTCAAGCATTTGCGGGACGGCAGCACAAGCAGCACGGGTGAACTGAAAGGCTTCCAAGCGGCCCAATGAATAAAGGTTCTCTCTGTCGAGAACCACACCTGGCTGCGGTGCTGCCACTCTACTCCAACGGCCGAAGCACTCGATGCACACCACCAGCTGGGGGCCTTCGGTTCCACCTTCACGGTCGGCATGGATGAATTGCCTTCAAGAACTCTGCCGGAAGTAAGGCGCACTGGACCACTGCAAAGTGACAGAATCTTGCCGCACGATGCATGTAAAAACTGGGCATCCTGGCAGCAACGTTATCAATCCAACCAATCCGCCATCAAGACATCTGTGTACACCCAGCCATCTCGAGCTGAAATGTCCGCGCTGTCGCTTGCGCTCACGCTTGCTGCGATGCTGCTCGTGTGTTGTTCTACCAAGTCCCTCGAAACACCTAGGACCTACATAAGAAGATGTTAGCGATTACCAGTCCTCGAAAAGCACTCCGACTCAGCAACATCCGATGACAACATTTTTGCACGTTGCGCGGAAGCGAACCCAAGTCAAACAAACACAAACCGTTTCGAGACTCAAAATACACGGCAAGCACTTTGCCGAGTGACACCGCGCAGCTTTGCTGTCGGGGTGTGCCTTGGTTTCGAAAAGACGGGGTGGGAACGGAATGCCCAAAAATGGCCCCCAAGTCACACTTCAACCAAATCCTCCTCCTCCTCCTGTTGCTTGCTGACCTTCCCCGAAGGCGATTCATGCAACTCGCCTTTATGTGCTATGCCGGCTATGATGGCTGCCTTGAATGGATTGCGACCAAACAGGGCACGAACGATCGGGGCACCGACTACAGGAACCTGAGCCACACGTCCAGGTCCGGCTGCTGCCAGCAAAACGATCACGGAGTTCACACCAAACACGTAGAAGACTTCATAAGATGGGCCTTGGAAGAGGCCGCTGTACGTTAGTACAACAGGCACGACCACGAGGGCCTCAAGTCTTTCTGCAAAGGCCTTCCGATGAGCAGGCCCAAAAACAAAGAGCGTGTAGAAGGTCACTGCCTCCAAGGCAGCTCCCACAAACACCAACCAGCGCAGCCCATCTGCCATCTCCTCGTAGTCATGGCGCAAGATTCGGCCAATCCAGATCTGGTTTGTATTGGTGACCCACCAGAGTACACTGAGAACAAAGAGGCTGCGGCTCCAAGTTGAGATGTCCCCAAGGGCCCCGGTGCGCCGCGTGATCTCCTGGAGGTCCTTGGCGAACACATTCATGTCCAATAGCACCCGCACGGCATGGTCCACCTCACGCTCCTGGCCCTCGATAGCCCGGATCTCCTAGTGATCTGGGAAAGAGCTCTGCTTTGAAGCACTTGCGAGCTCATTTCTCGTGGGGGGGACGCTGACAGGGACCTGACGATCTGAAACCATGTGAAAACCTCTGAACCCTCTGCCCAACTTACCCAACGAGTATCCAGAATCAGTCCTTGCGGATCCGCTCCGCGTCGGCGGCGTTGGCGCTCTTAGCAGCCTCGATGCCCTCAAAGCCAGACTTTAGCTGGCTGGTCTGTCGCCTTCCGTCCAAAGCCAGCAAGCGATCCATTTCTAGTCCGGCCATGAAGAAAACTGCCACGGTCATGAAGATCATGTTGTTTGACCTCTTGAAACCCTTCCGATATGATAGGCTTATGCGATACATGGCAAACACCGCACCGCAGACATATATAGCCACCTGGAGCAGTTTCCAGTCATGCCTGTTGGTCTTGTACAAGAAGGTGAGGAAGATGAGGCAAGCCAGGCCACTGAAAAGCCCAACCTGTTCCACACGCTTGATCTGATCCGCCGAGTCTGTGGTCGCCTGGCTCATGATCAGGAAGCCTAATCCGTGGAAGGCCATGCCAGCAAAAACGGTACGGAGCACTCGGGGCCAGAAGTGTGGGATTGGCGACAGGGCAGTACGGATCGGTTTCTCCAGGCGGAAGGCTAAAAAAGCTTCGTACACGCACCAGACTCGTGTGTAGATGGATGTTGTCTTGTTGGGGACGACCAGCATTTCCTTTGCTGCGGTGAGAGCTTTGGCAAAGGGTGACTCAGAGGGAGACGTGATCAGGTCCCCGATGTCCAAATTCTGTGGATTGGAGAGAAAACAAACATAAGCAGCATTTGCACCAGTTGGCCAAGAGTTGGAAACTTTGTCCACAAACTCGAAAATGCCTTCGGCCCATGCATGTGTGATGAAGAGGTCACAACTTATGCCCTTGGGATGCTTCATGAGTGCCCAGCTGACATTACCGGCTCGCCTTGTCAGAACTTTGATGTATTGTTCCGTTACGGAGTACATCGATGGGCCCTTGACAACATCCGCAGGATCGAACGGATCCAAGTCTGTGGGCTTGATACGGCCGTCGGCAACCGCCTTTGAAACTAGACGCCGAAACTGGAGCAAATCGTCCAGTGTCCTTGGCTTGTCGACATTGTTTTTTTGGTATCTTAAAAACTGGAGTTCAGCAATCTGCCCCTGCCTGCTCTTAAAATAAAACATGCTTCAGCTAAGCCGGGTTTCACACCCCACTTGTGCATGTCCACTGTCCTGTGGAGAGAGGCTCCCTCGAGGGGGAAAAGACTATTCTCCACTGCATGGTCCTCTTGTGAGAAAGCCATGTCATCAACGAGACGCACGGAACGATGGATGATCCAGCCGCATGTGAACATGCCCACAATACCCATCACGAGCAACAGCGGGCCCATCACCTGAAGGTAAAGAGCGTCACCGGTTGGAACCGGGCCCGCAGGCTCCGAGCAACATCGGAAATGGTAGTCTGAAGCCCAAAAGCGCATCTTGGTCACACGGGGTTGAAAGCCTTCCACACACATGCAAGGCCTCACGAGATGTCCACCAATGCAAGGCTCTTCACCTGGACTGTTCTTGATGAACCGGCTGGCATTGCCTCAGCTTGCAACTTGGAGATGGTAGAATCTCTATCCAGGGTCCCTGTCCACAACAGCTACAAGCGGCAAATCCCGACATGCTCCTCCCAACTTAGCTCTGCACAGGTTTCGATGCCTTCAGGGGTTACAAACGGCCGAAGAAAATTCGAGCAATGTGGACCAACTACTTTTTGTTGCAAGTCTTATGGCATGTTTCGCAGTGGCAGCGCCTCCCAGCTCGGACCCGACGGGACAAACCGTAGCGTCTGTGGATACGATGACGAAGAGGTCGCCATAGAGGAAAACAAACCACACCAAGCACAAACCTCATGTCACACGCGCAAACTCAATCCAACAGTCCGTGGCAGTCTTCCAATTCATTTGATGGTGCCCGGTCAAGTTCCCTGCCATTGCTGTGTTCTGACTCCTGACCCGATCTGGCCTGCTCCCTTTCTTAAACCCTCGTCTGGTTTAAGCTACATGCTGAGCAATGGCAAGAAAATTCAAATAAGAAACGACATGCCAAGAATGCGACTGGTTCCCTAAGGCGCCAGCACCACTACTCATATCTTAAATCCAGAGTCTAGGAACTTC